GAAAGGAACCGATGGGATGTGAATTGAGGTGGCTGTCTGCGGCCACAAACTACACAGTGAATGCGTGTTCCTGGATGCAGACAGGTCAGCTCTGCAGTAAATCCGTCGGGGCGACTAGATTGACAAAGCCAAATTGTGAGTTTATTGAACCAACTTTGAGTAACCTGTTGAACCCACTTGGCAGTGCCCTTAAAAGCGTCTGATACCGTGCTGTATTCCCCTTCAACGTGGCATGGACGGAAGCTAACCATGCCTTGTAAATTTTTTCCACGTAACCTCCTATCTGCAGGTCTACAAAGAGCATTGGCTTGACACAAGGTTAAATTATGCGGAAATTTTTACCGTCGCACGCTGGTCCTATCCATCAGCTTTTGCAAAGTATTTCGTGTGAAAGTCATCTTTGGCGACAAGCTGTTCAATGCCACGTTTGATAGGGCATGTAATGTGCAAGTCATCGAGGACGCAAATCAAACTTGTGTATTTACGTGTTTGAAGCATACTCTTATTTGTTTTCATGTGCCTACGGGGTATTGACATTACCACGCCTTACATATCGACTCGGGGTTAAGTAGGTACTGGCCAAAATCTTGTCATAATCATTTGGTAATATTTCGTGATTGACTAACCTCACGGGAATAAGTAGAATAACTTTACAACATTCTGTATGAAATATATCAGACATTAGCTAAATTGCTCCATTGTCGTCCAAAAATTTACCAAGCCCACATGAGGTAGCAAAAGTCATTACAATTTTAAAAAAAGAAATAACAGGTGTAAGGATGCTAGCGGAATAGGCGCGTTTTTGAAACAGGCCAAACGAGAGTAAAATTTATGCAAAATAACTTGACTGAAGTAATTCGATGTCGCACAATCTTCAGGCGTCACGAAGGATTCTGTGGATTTCTAATTTGAATCTGTAACGAGAATATATACACCAGTTAGTTTGAATACATTCCGTGACGATGCCCTTATTTATACAATAATGTTGGCTTTTGATGTTGATTTTTGAAGGAAACGCAGGCGAACATAGCAATCGCTAGCATCCAGAGGTATGGCAGTGTCTGTTGATGTGTTGTCAGCGGATTCGTTTTACCGAATCAAGTCGTCAGCAATGCCTGAATGTTGCCTAGAGCCAGATTTAAGATTTGACTTGAAATCACCATGATGAAACCTAACACGCTACTCTGAACCATACTCGGATCTGGAGAACGAGCCATAAATGCGTCTTGAATGCCTTTTGTAGCGGTACCAGCACCTGCTCCACTTTAAAACTCTTAAAATGTTGAATGCCAAAAAAGAAGACCTATTCTCCTTAAATTTGGCCACAACACAGAACTGAACCGTAACAAGGTATTTAATTGCTATACAGACACATAAATCACTTAGATAGCCGTGAGGTACTGCCGTCATTTCTTAAACAGGAAAAGATGCACTTATCGCAGTTTTCGTGTTTTTAATAGTGAGTATTGCAAATGACTTACTAGAAAATGCATCAGACACTATAAAGCCGTACCTATTTTACGTCTTCCTTCGGAACATTTTCGTATACACCTACGTGAAGGCAAAAAAATAGAATGTCGTACGCTTGCTAAACCCATGGCGTTAGTAGGGAATCCGGAGAACTAAAGGCAGGTTTCTATTGGTTGCTTAAGGCTCTTAAAATGCGCCAAGCATGATAGCACCTTTACATGAAAAGTACTTTTTTTTCGTCTACCTGAGAATAGAGTTTTTGAGGCAAGCAACATAAATAAAAAATTTTAAGGAACCTACGGTTGCCAGGTATTGAAGATGTGAATGTTCCTGCCGGATCATACTCATCTCCTGTTTTTTTGTCTTCTACAAAAACCAAAAGATTATTGGCATTGGATCGAATACTTGACAGAGCACGTGGGGAATTATTTGATTGACCCTTTCAAATGTCTTGGTAATCCCGCACAAATTTAGAACATGGGGATAAAGATTGTGTTGAGAAGGGCGTTTGCAGCGCTACAATAGTGAGTTTTGTTTAGTTTTGTTACCCAATTATTTTCTGGAAAGATTTAAAGTAGCCTTAAGCGCACCTTCCGACTAAAAAAGGTTTTAGCAATTCGAGCTAAAATGAAATTCCAAGCTAGTTACTTCTGAGAAGATTCTGTGCTCTGGTACCCATAGTTTAAACAAAAAAATCAGTTGACAAACCTACCGACTTGTCTAATGCAAATTACCATCATCATGCAATTCTCAGTACCCCAAGACAAGTTCTCATCCTGTTTGACTTCCAAACAAAGCAAAGGAAGATTAAAGTATTAGAGGCAGCTGGCGTTTAACTGAAGTTACCACTTGCCTCTTTCGACTTTTCCATTTGGCTGTATAGCCTCGCGAGCGATGCAGTACTCCGCAAACTTGTACAGAAACTTCAATTCCGTCTGCAAACGAAAAGTGTACTTTTACGCAAGATTCCCATTTCGCCGACCCATTTTTGCTTCAGTAAGGAACAGAAATGGACACACAACACTAGTCACCAGCAACGTCATTTGATGGTGTGGCACATACTGAGCAGGATTTCAAGCCAATAACTTTTTTCGTTTACTTTTTCTTCGTGCAGAAGCAACGTGTGTTGTCTCTGCTGACTGCCATCTAGCTCAAGGCAGGTTCCTGGGGCTCACAGTAGTTGAAACTCTGTAGAATCGCAAGTCACGCTGGGAGCACAATTCACTGAAACACGTCAACATCTTTGAAGTTTACTTATCACTAATGAGTAGTGATGAAATTCGACCAATTTTCTGCATTCCTGAAAACACTATTACATTTTACACAACCACTTTGATGAACTTTGTCTCCATGCAATAAACTGGAGGCATTGGAAATTTTGCGGAGCACTGTCCAGTGGCAAGACATTCCATGGTTAAATCGAACGTACCGGTGATTTGACAAAATTCTTGTGATTAATTCGAAGAGCCAGTGCAGTACCAAACACGTCGATTTTCGAGGGGTCCTTCCGCAGTCTGTCTAGGATGTATCGAGCGCAAAGAAAGGTTCCTGCTCTCCCACCACCGGTGCTGACAACGCACAAGGCATTGCAACGTGAACCATGCCAACCAAACGAGGCTACACGTGAAGGCTTCTGCTCGGTCACTTACCTGCAATGCACTGTCGGGGGTCCGTGGGTGCCGGCTGCAAGTTGGGCCAACAAAGACAGGTGAGTTAGGAGGATCGCATAGGTCCCATCTATCGACAGCATCCCACGGTCATTCGAGGAAGTCAACTGGATCTGCTTAACTGTCCACGGCTGCAACAGAATGGCAAATGTGCGCATCGTTAGCACGAACTGCAGCGGAGCGTGTTACATTCGCGTTCGTCCACTCCAACGCAGCATACTCCACCACCCTAAGGCCCGTCAGCCGTGCAGGACCGCCTGTTCACACCCTCCCCCCACAGTGCAGGCGCAACCCCTCTCATTTAGCCATTCTGGCTCCTGTACTTACAAGGCACACGACATCACAACTTGATTGAGACATTAAAAAACCGGTTAAATTCCTTTTCTTGGTGTCTTGAGAACAATTTCGTTATTAGTCGCGAAGATTCCTTTTAATATGTTGTTGTTTATTTGCTGAGGATGGTTAAAATGCCTTAGGTTGGCAAATGGACCTCCAACTAAGTGTCTGCAGAATAACGTTTGACGGTTGACGAACACTTTAAACAGGGCTTTCCTAACACAGCGACATTCGTGAAATTTCGCGGCAAGGGCTCTACCACTACTCCGCATTACTATAATTTCGATTTTAACTAAAATACGTTTAGGTAAAATGGAAACACTTGCGGACACTAGAACAACATCGGTATTATTGACAAAGTGTTTGGTGTGCGAAATTGCGACATGCACTACAAGTTGTGCGACGTCTTGTCAATTTCGAAGCGCATTTGTTTCTGCGCACTAGACAATTTCATCAATTAATCAACAAACTAACGTCCTTTCCTTCCCGAGGCAGAATGCTAAATTCACGCAAGGTGCACATTTGCATTGCCTGTGCCTTCACCTTGGTCACGGTTACACTGTGGGTTTTTGAGGCAAAAGTCTCAGTGTCCTGGTCTGGCCAATACCTGGCGCATTTGCATTCCCCGTTCTCGAAGGTGCTAAAGGAGACAAAAATAGATGCAGTTAAAGGGTGTGGTGCACTTCGTGACCTCGATTAGATCGTGGCAGAATGCGACCTGCAGAGCATGACGATGTGGGGGCTCTTCTGCTCGTAGATCATCGTGAGGAAGTCGGCGACGGTGTGGGGCAGAGGAGCCTGGGCTGCAATGTACTCCGGTGCAGAATCATGACTTGGTGCCATGGCAGCGCCTGTCTTCGTGTAGATGGGTCCTCTCACGTAGGAGGCGTTGATGTACGAGTCTGCGAGCTTGCCGCTCTGAGTTACCTGGGCAAAATATCAAGTAAGCACCTACAGGCTGCACCTAGACCTGCTGCATACGGAAAAATTCTCCCAAACATACCACGCCATTTGATCCGAGTTCCTTCAGTGGACCTGATGATCCTTGACGTAACTGAACTCTTGACTGGTCATCTGCAGGGCAATTTAACGCCAAAGCAGCAATTTAACGGCCATTAGCAAAGCAATTCTATGGAGTGACTTGTAGAGGTGGCTACACCTCATTATACCGACATGGAAAGCTACCGCAAATTCAATTTTCACCCACCGACAAGATTATCAAGTGCAGTTTTGTAAACAAAGGTATTTTTACGTTTTTCAAAATTGCCCTGAAAAATCACAGATATTTTTGAGAATAATCGCATCACAATGACCAGACTACCAACATTTTTTGCCGTGCCTAAAACATCTCCAATCATATGCTGTTGCCACTTCATAAAACCACGTGTAGAACTCCCGTAAATGTTTATGCCACATTTAGCTGTCACACAAAGAAGCTACGGATTAAATGATCAATCAATATCATTTGATGGATTAGACGTGGACTAATACAGATATGGGCTCTGTTCAGGGTGGACCCACGATCTGGCCAGAGAACTCTGCAGTTGCTTGAACTGTCAATGTTCATGTGCTGCGTATATACAACTTAGTTCTGATATTTGTGTCCTAAAGAGCCAAGAAACAGACAATTGTGACACCTACAAGGCAGTGTGTTGTTACACCTGTTGAGGTCGGGCACGAAACGAGCTGCGATTTGAGTGAGGTAAAGCAGCTTTTCCCTTTTACTCGAGGCATTTTCAAGCACCTGCAGATAAAGGCAAGAAAATATGTCTGAAACTCCAAATGCAAAACAACAAACTCGACCGTTAGTGAGCCTTCTTCTCCTATTTTTTTCTTTAAGAAAGCAGCGTAATGCTGCAACAAGGTTAGAACTACACACTGGCAACTGATATGCACAGCCATTTGTAAGGATGCTGGAACTAAACTCCTCACTGAGTAGAGTAAACGGAATAATCACTTATTGCCTCTGAAAGAGCAAAATGTGTAGACTTGCTTCGAAAAGCTTGTTCCAGCCATCGTTGGTATCTAGCGAGAATGTCACCGTTTTGAAGTTAGCCAAATCCACTGGAGCGGGTCTACATTACCAATGAGAAAAAGACTCAAACTGTAGCAGAAAAGTTAAAGAAAGTTGAAGTTGATAACACACAGTAAAGCAAATGCAGTTTCGAAAACCATTGAATTTGTTCGGAAATGAAAAATTGTTTAGTCTATTTACATAAGCCAAAAACTCACAAATCACTTGAGGAAGTAATAATGTGCTTAGTGTTCGCATAGTCAGTTGAGTACTCCAGACTACAATATTTAAAAGAGTTGCTGGTCAAATTGAAACTCATCAAACCGTTTGTCTATTTTCCGGCTGCTTACAGTCTCCGTGTAAATCTACACATTGTAGTAGCCTCATTTGTACTGCAAACATATTGACAAAGTCGATGGCAGAACCTAGTCAGTTGAATCTAGCTAATGGTGGTCGTTTTGGAACGAATGGAATGCAGCAGTGTGTGTGCCAGGGTTTGAAATAGAAGGACCATTTCATTTGAAGGTTCGAGGACTGACGGATGTGAATAAGCACAGACATACAGCGGTCAGTAATGAGTATTCATACTTCATGGGATAATGAAGTGTTGCTTATTGGCAAAGAAGACAAGTTGAGGTTATTGAAAACTATGCAATTAGTAAATTCATGTCACCCAGGAGAAGGCCTAGATTCAGGGAGTTGACGGATTGATGTAAAGCCGATTAAATGGGGTTAGGCCAAAAATAATCAGGTGCCATTCTAAGCGGTCACATCGAATCCCTCCTCCAATGACGCATTCGGCAATTAACGAACGCGAGACTACAGTATCAAACACGCATGTCAAGGCTGTATGGAAGTTGTGTGTGAATTTAAGAGAACATCATCCACCATAGGAAAAACACTGGTCCGCGTGGTGGATGTGTATGCGTTTTACTGACAAGCAATGACATGCCAAAATTGGCGCTGCTCCTCCACATCAGACAGTTGTCAAAATGTCTGTTGAACCCCTCCATTTTGTAGCATTATGTGATAATTTATCTGTCTTGAATTGAACAGGTGATTCTATAGAAATGAATATACGAAAAGGTAATTTGAGAGCTGCACGATCATTTTTCCTTACAATTGTTGTATTATCGTCGTATTTAGTGTCTGACCGCTATTGAGGGTTATGCTATCTAGTAATGCGTTATTTTCACAATTCGAGTTGTCTGATTTATTAAACGCACACATATTTGCTGTTTCGATGACAAAAGCACAGAACTGATTGCATGTTTTGGCATTGTTTCGTAACTAACATTCAACTCACATTCGCGCATTCAAATGTCTTGTAAATTGCTTCATCATGATATCATGAGTCGATCAAACCGCAAGTGAAAAAAACGGTGGAATTGCCTACGTGCTTTAAAGCAAAAGTCCAAATATATGAAAAGCGTTTTTTGTGTTCTTGTCTCAATAAGTCAAAAATAGATATTGGCACACACATGTGGGCATCTTTTGCCTTTGAATAGTTAAAATTACCTTCAACGTCATCGTAATTTTAACACAGTCCATACGAAAAGGTTAAACGTGGAAAATTCCACAGAATTGCATAAAGGAATTTAGTTTTAAACCCTGAGCAGTGTATGAAAACTGCTTTAGTAAATAGGAAAATTGCCTGTTTTGAAATGAGATTGGAAAATGCTTGAATTAATTTAGTGAAAGCAGGCCCGGCCTGACACGAATTCAATCAACCACCAAACATCTGCACTTATAAATGCATTCGGTTAAAACAAGATCATTGAAGAATTTTGAATTCTAGGGTTTTCCAGCCGTACCCAATTCAGACGTTTACAATTACTTGGCATGCATTTTAGGTGGCCTTAACGCAGGAATAGGGAAAGAGGAACACTTGTTTACCAAGCCAAATAAAGGCGTCATGGTTTACTGTTAAGGCAAATCTTTTTGTTAACTTCGAGTTAACAATTTACGAAATCCCTTTTTAATTACCAAGCTTATTCTGATCTACCCCTTATATTAAAAAACAACAGCCTCGACTGACGTTTGTGCTCTTGCTAACTAAGAAAGGTTTTTGATTTGTGGCAGATGTCAAGTGCTTTAAAACCTAAACGAGCTTGTTGTTGCTTGCTTGTGTGAATTTCGAATCTAAACGCCATCACATGTTTGCAACTAAGAGCACTTCATAGACTTTTCCAAACTCCAATAATCCGGGACAGTTGTTTTATTTAAAATGAACGTGTTTGCAATCTCTAAATATTTTGCTGCACCTACTCCCATTACGATTCAAATAGTCTAGGCGATTAATGCGTTCATTTCTTCCTTAACAAACCACACTCTACACTGATTGAACGCTCTGCTCAGTTAATTTTAAAGGTGAAATAAATTAGCAGTCCTTGATTTTTTTCGGAACTCTCCCATGATGATTTGACACCAAAGTGTTTGAAAGGGGAATGAAACAATTCTGTGTGGTAGAAAAACCGACGACTAAGGTTTGTGGTTTTGTTTAAATTAAACGTGTTATAGATCTGCTACAATACAACTGGCGTCATCACTCGTTTGCGAATAAACTCAAGACATGTATGCTGTCGTGTGCTATGTCTAAAAGAAACAGGCGACATTAAATGTGCACATTTTATGCCAACAAAAACTAACCTTTCTTAACATTGTAGAGCAAACAAAAAAACATATTTAACTAACTTTTCTTCAATGTTCTTAGCACCATTTTGGCTCGACCGTCGTTTCCAGTACAGTATGCCCAACGATATGACAACTGCGGCAGCAACAAAAATTACAGTCAGGGAGACAATCAGTGCAATATTTTGTGGTTTCGCTAAAAAAACACACAAAACAGATGTCTGGCTCACAAAGAAAAACGTGTGAATAGATAATTTTAGTTTAAGATGAAAAAAGAACTTACATTCCGTCGTTATGCTTCCTACCTCAACTTCATTCCCACATAGGCCAACGGAGATGCAAGATTTTCCGAAAATGGTGTAGGTGGTACCAGCAGTGAGTCCGTTAATGGAACACCCTACTTCGTTGATCGAAACGTTGGCAATGCAGAATAAGTTGTCCATTTCACTTGCATCCACAGGACGTTGCCTTGCCGAAACCTGGTAAAAGGCGGTGTTTTCTGTTGCAAAATTGGGTTTCGGCCAACTGACGTAAACACTCCCCGAGTTGACACTTTCTACAGCCATTTCGGTCGGAGCTGTAAGAAGAGAAGACAAACACGACGTCTCGCTCGGTGTGGCAGAACACACTACTGAACTACAAAATTTAGACTCGTTTTCGAACTTCCTAATGTGTCGACGATGATAACAGACTTTCAAACTCAATTTGAGTGACGAAGTCAATCTCACTACTTAGATTTTTCAGTGGATCACAGAAGGAAATTCTGTTTATAAGACGGCATTGACTTTACCATGACCGTAGTTTTGACATAAACACTGCTACTTAAGTCATTCGAAACCATTGTGCCGTTCATCGTTTCCACAGTATGCATAAATTTAGGTACAAGAGGCAGTGGAACATCTTAATTAAGTGTTTGCAATAAAACATGCCAATATGGCACTGGAGAGTTCTCATCCTTCACTAATTGTACTATTTTAAGTCGATTGTGATTAATTACCCCTGAGAAGCTTCGGTTTCAGTGGTGTATTTCAGCAGGGAATTTAATTGGCTTGACTGGAAATTGTGGCATCACACAACAGCCATCACTTCTGACGTCAGTGGTATCTTCTCTAACTGCATTTACTGAAACACCTACTGGATTTTTTTATCACTTCTATGTAAAATTAAAGAAAGACCCTTTAGCATCTACTTTGTGCAGCCTAGACATTTAGCCGCCTTATTTACACACCTGATTGTCTTAAAACGCATTGGCAAGTTAGGGTTATTTACGCTACCTAAATGTAGACAAACGCAATTGCAAACTTGCCAGTTGGCAGTGTCCAGCCAATCCCTTCAACATAATCACTGCAGGTCTGCCTCAAAGCCACCCACGAGCACGCCGCAATTGCAAATCGCTTCCCTGCGGACAGACCTCCGAGTTCGCATTCAAGTAAAGCCTTCTAGGCCGCAATTTCACAAACCATCGCTGAGGACGCGTCTTTTATCGTGATGTTGTATTGATCGATGTGTTTCGCATCGTCAGGTGGCACGACAGCTAACTTGAAGGATGTCGTCGATAAAGGTGTCGCAATCATGCCCTTTGGAGCTTAAAGTTATACCACAAATGACTTAGTAATTTCTCTCAAAGAATCCGTATTACAGGAAGCCATTTTGCGTTATTTGTCTCCCGAGCCTTCCGTCCTGTTACAACACGGCGGTAAAAGTACATCTGAGTCGATTAACGCTTGATTTGACTTTAGATTCAAACAATGAAATAGTCATTTTTGACTTACCTCAGGAGCTTCTAATGTGATTAAAACTGTCATTTTTCAAGCACTTACACAACACCTAATTGACACAATCGTGGCGCAAACACGTATGTTATTTGAGACCATCAAAGTCAGTTACTTGACTATTGAAGTTTAATTCAATAAAGATGAAGCATCGAAGCTGTCCAAGCAACATCATCGGTTACTCACGATTTGGTTTTGTCCAACCGGACGCCACCAAGCTGTCGCTGCACACAGACGGATCTGTGCCACTGATACAGGCGTTTACTGTAACATTGTACTCAGCGGCTGCTTCCAGATCGCCTAAGTGACACTTGAGCATTTCATCAGACAAATAAATAGTGCAAGACTTGGCAGGCTCCGCACCAACGACGTTAGCCAAGTAAAAACCGATTCCTGTGGCATCAGCAGGTGCCCCGACTTGAACAACTATCGATGTGTTAGAACTTGGAGTCACTGACGCTTTAGCTGGTGCTAGTAAAAAAAACAAAACAATACGTCAGGAGCACCGTTTTTATAATAAACCCATCTGCTCCAAAAAAATGGGAATACTTGCCATTTGGCTTTGTCCAACCAACCGCCTGAAGGAAATCACTGCAAATATGAACTGACGTCATCCAGGAGCAGGCCTTTACCATGATTTTTGTACCTGCTGATAGACCGCCCACAGGACATTCTAGCAGGTCCGTTTTAGCCTCAATTTCGCAAATCCTGGATGAGTTTGGGTTGTCCACTGTAATGTTGTACTGGTCAATATTTGTCGTGTCATTTGGGGGCAGAATCACCACGTTGCCCGACGTTGTTGTAACTGGGATTACTGCAGCACCTCGTGGAGCTAAAAGCATCACCACATGCATTTAACAACTAGAACTCGATTTTGCAAGGGTGGAGTGAAACCAAATCGAGTATTATTGAGAATGTGCTGCACCTACTATGCTATTTTTAGCTGCCCTAATAAGTGTGCTGATTTGGTTTTCGCACTGAATGCCATTCTAATATTGGTAAACGCGTTTTGTCAAACCTTTATAACCTTTGACTAGTCGTTGTTATCAAGTTATCTTTGTAATACCCAGAATACTACATTACATAACCGAATTTAATTTTTGTAAAATGCCTTTTACCTAGCTGTGTTTTTATTTCAAGTAACCGATATCAATATCAATGTGAGGAGAAACTAAAGCCAAGCGAATCGGCAATGTGTGCAGGAAGCACAGACTGGTTGTGAAAACACCTTTTTCCTCTGCAGGTCGCCTATTTCAGTTTTATGGAGGTTCTATAAAACGACCGGATATATCCTTACAACTTCTAGTCATCTAGGCATCGATGACTGGTTTCAATTGGCAAAATTAACATAAACGACATCCACGTGTGGTATTGGTCAAAATAATGACAAGTGTGTAGTTGATCGTACTGATTCCAAGGTTCCTACTGGAACACATTAAATCAAAATTTACTGTTGTAGTTCAAATAAAACGCTTGTCCCACATGGTTCCTAACCCAAGCGAACAGTCATCTCTCTGCATGAACCACTCATTCGAACGTTTATGCTACTTCTACTAGTTCACTCAGACTGCACCAGTCTGCATTAAATTTAATACAAGCACCCGACAACATAACTCGGTTGAACGCCGATCTGCTCTACGGTAGTGCCTCGCCCTCACCAGTCTTCTGCATCTTCGCGGGCATCGGAGTTGCTTAGTCGGGCGAGATTATGCGCAATGGCTCGGGCGTCATTTGAATGGTTCATGCACAGGGATGAATGAGCAAACGGGTTAGCCGAGAAACAAATGGTGGGGACGTGTGTCTGATACTGTCTGATACATACCTAAGCACAACGTGTTTAAAAAGTGTTAGTGTCAGACAAATTAGAGGTGTTGACTGATTTTCTGCCCCCACATCAACTTTGTTCAGATTCATCTATTTATGTAAGCACTTTTTTTCAAGATAAATAACTTACTGCTAAACTAGTTTTGCCTTACACTAAAATGAACGATAATTAGTGGAAAATACCGAATGAAGAAGAGCGTTTTCCTTACGATATGCTTTTGTCCATCCGGATGCCACCACGTTGTGACTGCAAACGACCGGATACGAGCCGTTGATGCAGCCACTCGCGATGACCTCGTACTTGGTGGCCGCCTGCAGGCCTTCCAGGCGACACCACAGGTTTCCTCCAGGCCGTATTGTGCAGAGACTGGGTGGCGTGACTCCAACAGTGGAAACCTCGTAGCGCCCGATGCCTGTTGCGTCAGTGGGTGTCTCAACTGCAACGTCAAGTGACGACGAAGAACCTGGTGACACCGTTATTTTTCCTGGTGCTGCAGCAAAAAAGTTTTGCAAATTCCTGGTTTCCATTTTGCAATTTATTCAAGAGGAGATTGTACTGTCCTCAATGCTACGATAGGGATGTGTGCAAACTAAGACACGTATATTAATTAAGGTGTAAGATTCCTAAATTACGATCCTGTTTTACAAGTAAACATCGGTTTGCATGGTTTTGAAATCATTTCGCATTATAATCGAATATTCCAAATATTACATAATATTTTACTTGTATCTTGCCATCTCTTTTAAGCTAGAATATCTTGATAAATCATTTTTTAATCAAACATCATCTTTTGATTCACTTGCGATTTAGTTAGAAGTTCCAATTATTTTCAGGTATATAGGTCGAATATTCATGCATTTATCAAATTTGACCAATACAAATGGCGCACAAGAGAGCATTCTGCTGGTGTAAAAAGACAGATTTTGAATGATAGATTCAAAGGACAACAACTAACCCTGCGGCTTCGTCCATCCAATCGCTTTGACGGGTTCACTGCAAATTTGACTAGACTTCAGCCAGGAACAAACCCCAACTGAATACTGCGTCCCAATTGAAAGAGATCCCAAGCTGCATTCCAGCGGTTCATTGTTAGCATCTACTTCGCAGAACCTCACTAAGTACGCACCCCTCACCGTAATATTGTACTGATCGATGTTTGTCGTGTTGTTAGGAGGTATAACCGTCACCTTGACTGAAGACGTTGATAGTGCGGTCACAGTAGCGCCTTTTGGAGGTGTGACTTCAAAATAAACAAACATTATTAAATTTTTATTTTACATGAAAAACGTGCGAAAATCAGTTCCTGATGATAGATTTTCTGGGATTATCAGGACAGTTTAAAAATGTTTCAAGAGTTTTGAAAAAGTCAACGAACTATAGTACTGTTAACGTGTTTAAGGCCCGAAAACCTACGATTATTGCAAGAAAGATGACATACTGGAAAATATCACTTGTACTTGTGCTTCCTACAACGAGGCAACAAGGTGACTAATCCTATATTCACTACAAGGTAGGTTACATTGACACGATTTACCCTTTGGCTTTGTGCATCCAGTCGCTTCCACGAAGTCGCTGCAAATTTGACCTGACCTCATCCATGAGCACGCCTCCACAGTGTAGTTAGTCTCTTCTAACAGACCGCTTATTGTGCATTCCAATGGATATTCATCGGCTTCAATCCCACAAAACCTAGTCGGATGTGTGTCTTTTAAAATAATGTTGAACTGATCGATGTTGGTCGCGTCGTCTGGAGCAACCACATCCACCTTGATTGAAGTTGACGAGATTGAAGTAACTGTAACCGTTTTAGGAGCTGCAAAAATCATCATTTTGGAAACAACAGTAAAAAGAGGCACTAAAACGTACAACAATAAATAACCACATATTTTCGTAAGATTAACATATGAAAATAAACTAGGCTTTGCAGTGCTTCGAAAAACGCCAGTCTTGGTAGTAAAGGTAATTCAGAGCAATTAAAACACATCATTAAATGGTTGGCGTAATGTCAATAAAAATTAAGACAGCTGCTTGGTTGTTGATTTCAACAGATGCTTCAAAAAAACAAGCATAATTAAGCGACGCGCAATTAAAAGGACATGGGTATTGCCCGTCCGTCTGTTTCATATCAAAGGCGAAACAGGACAATTTGTTTTTAAATTGGTTTCATCATCATTTAATACACTTTTTAAAAAAGCTCACACTCGTCAATGCAGGAAAATTTGGCTGCATCCTGTCAAATCTGAAGCAATATTTAGCATTGTTCAATAAGATTCCGAGTAGACAAAGTTGCTTTTGTAGTAAGTCACTGTAAGGCATTATTTAATCGATCTTAAGTTATTCTAAATTTCGTTCAACAATCACTGCCTGATGGCAATGGTTTGAATACGTGAAAACAAACACTACCGTCTTGGTGAAGCAAATATTCTTTACAACAACTACGAAAGAACGAATATTTTGGACATTTTCAAAGCGTGCGGTGAGTTGATCTTGTGCGATTGCTTGAGCAGCATGATTTAAGCAAACAAATGAAGCATCACAGCACACGGAACTGCCTCTTGTACAATTCACTTATGTCAATCTCGTTAAAGTCACAATTTCAATCAACACAGTCAGTTCCATGCCGTGAAGAAAGGCGATCACCCCCACATCTTGCCTAAAAACTTCTTCCAGAACATCCAGTCGACGCTCATACGTATCTCTGACACAAAATTGTGCAAGTCAAAAGAAGGCAGCGACGGACGCCTTGTAACAACTAACCCAGGAGCGTCAGTGTGTTTCTTGACGCTAACAGTCACCAGTGAGTTTGAAGCCATCGTCATCACTTTTATCTTGCCTTATAATGATGAAACAGCGCTTAATCATTCTTAAACACTTCGAGTTGTCTTCTACGGTTTCGTCAAACTGGCGAGCACGTGCATTCTTGCTACATAGGCTACATCATTTACTCCATTGTTTAAAATTTCATGGCCTATCTCATAAAATATTAATTTACAAAATCACCTTAAACAAGAATCTCTGGGTTAAAAGTAGATTTCTGACCGTGCTTTTATGATAACAACTAAAATTATTTATAACGTTTGTTGCAAACGCGCAAACAATATATACGTAAAAAGGTAAAATCAACGATCAAAAAGAGAAAACAATTATAACCAACCAGATTTTTACACAACCTACCGATTGGCTTTGTCCAACCGATTGCTTCAACGGATTCACTGCAGAGCTGACCTATCTGCATCCAGGAACATGCTTTCACTACATACTTTGTGCCTGCCGAAAGTCCTTTTAAGTCGCATTCCAGTTGTTCTTTTTTGACCTCTATTTTGCACGAGGGATAGATGA